ATTGGCTTCCCTTAGGGCAATACGGGCGGCGGTGGAGGCTACGTGAGTTCCGTGCCCAATGTAGTCTTCGGGGGCCTTTACGTCATTTTCCGGGGCCTTGCCGTCTAGACGAAACCATTTCGCGCCGATTAGTTTGCTGCGGTGGAGGAAGCCATGTGCAATTATATTAATTAATAATCTAACTGGCGTAATTAGCATATCTAAACTCTATTTAAAACTGTATTATTAATTAATGAAATTTATTATCAGTTAATGGCAACACGGCTGACTTGTTGCATTTGAACGGGTGGCTGCCGGTGCATTTGCCGCGCCATCTCGCCGGTGGAGGACCGAAGCCGGTGTCGTTGAAGCTGGGGGAAAATGGATCGATCCCTACAAATAAAAAAGCTTAAATTTTTATTAAATTAAAAAAACTAATTAATACGGAGGGTTTAGTGTAAATGACTCGCCGGTATCTATAACGCCGACGATGACGTCGCTCTCAGCAGCGATATTATGCGGGGCGGTCACAGGGAAACCTAAGAAGTCCCAAGTACGCGTGGTGTGCAGCTTCCGGGAATGTGCGGGGAAGACGGAGACGACGCCGTCGAGCTCGGCCACCTGAGCTGCCTCATCGCCGGACAGTTTGGCGGCGAAAGCGTTCATGCTTAGGGTGTAGCTGTGGAAGATGGACTCCTTGGCGGCGTCATGGCTATTTAGTGAAATATTATTTGACTCAAGTTTAATATTCATAAAATTGGATCTCAAAGGATATTATGCATGTAACTTAAGACTTATAAAAGTTAACACGACTAATTAAGATGATTTGATTAATTACCTTCCAAGGATATCGGAGAGAAGGCGGTGGTGATGGTCAATGGCATTGACGCTGGGGTGCGGCTTGTCGCCTAGATATACTATGTATTTCTGAGGGCAGACGGAAAAATAAATGTAATTAATCTTCAATATAAAATTTGTTAAAAGAAAATATCACGTCTCCATAATAGATATGCGGATGCTGATCTGAATTGTTTCATGTTGTGTATTGTAGCATGATGCAATCCACACGATCATCCGTTCAAATAATATTCTTAGACTTGATTGAGCATGTATAATAACCTTTTTTTCAGGGATGGAAGCTGCAAGAGCGGTGGAGGATAAGAGAAGGGAATAGACAAGAACTAAAAGAGTGGAGGATGCCATGCATGAGAGTATGGCCTCCACGAGAAGAAGAGAGGAGGAGAGGAGAGGATGGAGATGTAAATTAAAAGGTTTTGGTGTTAGGTTTTCTACTATATAATATGCGTGAATATATATATATAGAGAGAGAGAGAGAGAGAGATTATATAATATGCGTGAATATATATATATATAGAGAGAGAGAGAGAGGATGAAGTGAGCTTAATTTGTTAGCTTGTTTATGTCGTTTGAGATTTTTGTTGGGGACAGAGGAAAGAGAGCCTTAAAAGGATAAGTGCACGGCACCTGCATCAAAAGCCATTAGTGGGAGCCTAACTGTTCAGCATAAATTTGATTCAGCTTGTTCTGTTTGAAACTGACGTTCGGGAATCACATGAAAATTGATACATTAAGTTGTCATAGTTGCAACTATATGTACTTTCTTAATCTTCTTCTATTTTTAATAGGTCCTTTTAAATAATGTAAATTAATTTTTATTAAAACTTATTTTAGGATTTGTAAGGATCATCATTTATAAGACATTCAATTAATAATCAATCTCTAAAACAAAGTCTCATCATCTGATGAAACAGAGATTTAAACATCAAAATAAAAAAAATAATAGTCATAAATAAGTTTTTTACATGTATCTTTTATATCTACCACTTATTCCGCATCTTCGGACACTATTTGTTTCCTCGCGCACATATAACGTGACATTGTAGCGAGTTGGGGAACATCAATTCATTAAGTCATTCTGGATATGGAGAAACATGAAATTTTTTTGATCATTTACATCCCAGCTTGTTGCAGAGACATGTAATGTGTAACTTGGCTTACGCTCGAATATCTTCTCACCGTATAGTAAGACCGTCACATTCTACTTGCTGGTAAATGATTGTTGCGCCAGACAATCCTCACCCGCCCCGGGAGAGATGCACGACAACACCTCTCTTAACTCCAAAAGGTTTCCATTTGCAATAACTCAACAAGAAATCTTGTTGGCTCGTCTCATGCTCTATCAACAACATAGGCTGCAATAGAAGATGCAACATCAAATCTAATGGTAGTCCAAGTAATTATCATAATTTTTTTCTTTCGAATTATCATCTATATATGTAGTTTCTACCAGGCCTAGCCACCTCCAAGCCAATAAGTGGTATCCTCCCCAAGGAAAAGATGAAGCAACAGACACACTCTCGATGGAAAAATTATTTCAAGCGGCTGAACACATGTCTAGACGACGACCTGAACTCAATCATGCAAACATAAATCACACCATGCGCGGCCCATTTGGACCGATTGTCTCACGTAATAATTTGTCCTCTCCACGGGGTCATTCACGAGACCAAGAGATCATCTTCATTGATAGCAAAAATTTAAAGAACTGAAATTATTAAAATAATATGTGATAAAATAAGGAACGATTGATAGCAAAATTTTTATATTGAGAGGCAATGCCACTGACAAATAATGCACAATCATGTAGAAAATAGATTTACTAGTTTATACAGAATTAATGAGTAAAATATGTTATATTTTTATTTATGACTCACATTTTCATCTTTTCAAGATCAAATTTATTCATCATGAATACAGGTATGCGTCATTTTATTTTACATATGTAAAAATCATGAATTTAGATCTTGGCTATTATGTACTTTTCTTTTGTAATTTGTGTATAAAGTTGAAACATGAATTTTCTAACATGTGGTATCAAAGCTTTGATTACTAAATTTATGATTTTTCTTCGAATCAGTTAAATACTCCTGATTCATATTGTAATAAATTTTCGCTGTGAGTTAGATTTTTAATTAGATCAATAAAACTAATGTAAATTGATATGATTGAAATTATTATTTATTTAATGTCTATATAATGTTTAATTTGTTAGTCACCAAAGTGACCAAATTAATAAGTTTAATAGACGTTAAATTAAATAAATTTTCAATTACTCACGAGTATGTGATGCTTGTTATGAAATAATTTAACATTTCATTATGAAAATATGAAAATTCATTTATTATAAAATATTTCTAGATCGCCTAAAGGTTGATCGTTTTTTTTATAATCATTGAATATAATTGTAGTCTATTTATATACTAAGTTAAGGTATGTTTATATATCCAAAGATAATAGACATGTCTAACTTGAGTACAAGCAATTATCAATTATGTTAAATTTAAGTCAAGCATCAATTATGTTTATTATCGTGTATTGTTATATCACCCAAAGGAGATTTCAATACGCTATTATTATTATGATCATTATTTTAATCTGATTTTATATGAATATCTATGTAAGTTTAATGTTCAAAGCATTAATGTACGAGCATGTTTTATTTATTTGTAGTAACTACTCCTGTTTCTCTTCATTCGCAAGCTACATCTATTCAAACTTTCAATGGGCTTAATTTCTCTGAATGGCGTGAGCAAGTCCAGTTTCACCTTGGTGTTCTGGATCTTGATTTATCACTTACGACTGAGAAACCCCCTGCTCTTACTGATTCTAGCAGTGCTGAGCAAATATCTTTCTATAAAGCTTGGGAAAAATCGAACAGATTAAGCTTAAT